CTAAAGGCGGGGGGAGCGGACGCGGCGCTGCAAGGGAAGCCGGGGATGAAGGGCTGGGGATGCTTTAAGTGTTTATTGACGACAAAAAAAAAACCCCACAAGTGGAGCACAAAGCTTTTGGTAGGCTTTTTATTCGAGACTGGACTACTCAGTGTAAGTTGCTGAATAAAAGCACGTTTTCACAGCTCAGAAGCCCTGCTTGCCCTCGTCCCTTGGGCAGGTAACTTACGTGGCTTGCACAACCCTCCATAAAACTAAACTAAACTGATATTTATCCATGCGAAAGCAGCACTGTCCAGTCAGTCCCGATACATTTATACAGCTGTGCTCTGTTACTTCACCGGCTATTTGTGCCTCTCCACAATAAGCAGCTGCAGTATTCGCTAGCGACTGACAATGGCAATTTCTCACTGCCTCCCAACTTTCACCTGTTGCACCTCAACCCTCCTCCAGACACAGCTGGGATAGCTCCTGCCAAGACACAGAACACACAGTCCTCACAGGCTACGAGGCTTCACTTCCCAGAACCTGCAAGCAGAGACTCAATATCCTGAATCGCTTTAGAAGTTTTTTCCAAAGCCTCCAAGACGTGCCCTTCACCTATTTCTTCTGGCCCACTCCCGCTTTCTGTTTTTCTAGCAGCAGCACCAGATGGATTCGTTTTTGTAGCCGACGTCCTCTCCAGAACATTGCTATTATCCAGTAAAACTTAGCGTTACTTTGTTAAGAAAAAACTACTAAACTCCTGCTCCTAATGCGAAAGTACCTCTTTGTATTTGCATTCATCATTCTGCATTACAGTCTCACATTTCATATTATGTCAATTACATAAAGCACTCTTAAAAAATAAGGGTATATTACACAAAGCGTCTAGATTTAACTTTAATTAAGACTTCAATTTATCCAAAAGTTACTTTAAAAAGGAAACTATCCGATGTCACATTGCAGTTAACAGCACGCACTTTTCATACTTTATAAAACGAAACAGTGGCTTAAAGACAATTACAGCTCAGGCAGCACAGAACACATTTTTAAGCTGGCTGAACATAATTCAACAATACCTAGGTAGCTGATAGAACGGAAAGGTGCTGTACTGCAACACACTCACAGGCAACTGCACCATCCCTCTTTCAAGAACAGATCAGCAGATGAGTGTCACCAAAACTAATTCAATACACATTAAACTGATTTCTTTTTTGGTTATTTAAAAATTGCTTCAGTTATGTACTCTGCCACTGTTTTTGTTGCTGGTGCTGTGATGCATAAGTTGGACGAGATAAAATGATAAAATTATAATTAAGAAGACAGAAAATGGCTTAAAAAATACAATTTTAAGAAGTGGGTAAGACTATAAAAGAATGTGAGAACAGGACAGAAAGCACTCAACACATATTTGAATATGCAGATGAACAACAGAACATAAGTGTAAAGTCTTTACAGCTTTAAAAAGGATACAGTTAAATCTCTGTATTTTTTTGAGCTCAGTATCAGCAGACCTGCCCAAGAAAATAAAGATTATTACATTAGTTAGGTTCTCAAATATATTTTCTACTTCATTTTAATTTTTAATAGTTTGCAGCAATACTGAAAATTAGATGAGCGAAATCCAAGTGAAAAAAAAGCTTTATTTTTGTCTTTCATGCCTGCTTTCAATGGCTGCTGTTTGTCAGTCATTTTAATTTCCAAAAATGCTTAGAGCTCTGCTCCAAGAACAGTCTCTTTGCTGTGTGTATAAATATTCTACAGTTTTTGTTTCATCAGCTATTGCATCTGCTATAATTTGACTAAAAAGTACAAGTGTAATCAATTTCAATTAACACATTTTTAACACATAAATATGTTTGTATATAGTGTCAGGAAGAGATACAATTGTCATTTAAACAGTTCAAAGTACTGTTTCGAACTGCCTGGTGTTCTGGTAAAAGATGCCTTTCTTAGTCTAGTATTGCCTTCTTCACCTTGGAAGATATCACCTCTAAAACATTAATCCTCCTTTGGGAAAGTCACGGTAATTCTGATTTTTAAGTAAGGCAGGCAGAAGCACACTGAAATAAGCTGCACCTAGAACTCGGCTTACCTAACAGTTTAAATAGTGCAAGAAAAGTATGAAACCATACAAAATACATTGACCTAAAATTCTCATTTTTGACCCTTGGGAAATGCAGTCTACAAAATTCAGAATGTATAGTTTGAGTTTCACGTTTTGACTTGAGTTTCTGACTCCTTTTGAGTTTTATTTTCGACATTATTTGTAGTCAATTATTTAGGATACAGAATAGTACCATTTCTCTTCAGTTACGGAGTGTGCAGAATATTCAGTAATCGCCTTCCTTTCATTCAAACTTCTGCACCATTCTATTGCTGTTCTGATGTACCTATAAAAGGCGCAAAAAGTCAGTTACTTATGTGAGATAAAAACTGTATTAATTCGAGGAAAAGACTGGAGGCATTAAGCAATACAGCTGGATCTGAAAGTACAACCACTGATTTAAAAATCTGGCTTTTACTTTAGGTCTTCTTGCCATTTTTTTGATTCCTACTTTTTTTCCTAGAATCTCCTTAATATTTAAAACTGTGCAGTTAAAAGAAAATTGTAACAGCTGTATGATTGGTAATGAACAGTGTACAAATGTTAATTTTTCTAAGTACAGTAAGCTTCTGATGATTGCCATAACAAGGTTGTAATGAGAGCAAGCAGATTACAAAAAAGTGATATGCAGGCAGAGGTCAACATCTGTAATAAAGCAAAAACTGGATACAGTGCTATCCAGTTCTATGTACCAGCTGTATATAGGACAAAGATTTTATTTTTTATTATCTACTGATGTAAGTTCCAGGTTGCAGCTCTAGTTATTTTTTAAACCAGACATTGCTGTAACACTTATAAAGGAACGACAGTATGCAGTGGTCCTGAGTCATACTGGTCCTAAATCTCTGCCAGATATAAGATAGAGCTTTTATCACTACGTGTTTCATTCCACACCTAGAATCACAGAATCATTAAGGTTGGAAGGGACCTCAAGGATCATCCAGTTCCAACCCTCCTGCCATGAGCAGGGAATGCTACCACTAGATCAGGTTGCACAAAACCTCGTCCAACCCGGTCATAAAAACCTCCAGGGATGGGGCATCAGCAACGTCCCCGGGCAACCCATTCCAGTTCCTCACCACCCTTACAATGAAGAATTTCTTCCTAATATCTAACCTAGATCTCCTCTCTCTCAGTTTAAAACCATTACCCCATTACCACCATCTCTGATGAAAAGCCCCTGCCCAGCTTTCCTGTAGCCCCTTTCAAGTACTGGAAGGTGCTATAAGGCCTCCCTGGAGCCTTCTCTTCTCTGGGCTGAACAGCACCAACTCTCTCAGTCTGTCTTCACAGCAGAGCTGCTCCAGCCCTTTGATCATCTTGGTGGCCCTTCTCTGGACCCTCTCCAACAGGTCTGTATCCTTCTTGTGCTGAGGGCATCACAGCACTCCAGGTGGGGTCTCAGCAGAGCAGAGCAGAGGGGCAGAATCAACTCCCTGGCCCTGCTGGCCACACTTCTTTTGATGCAGCCCAGGATGTGTTTGGCTCTCTGGGCTCCAGCACACCCTGGTGGCTCATGTCCAGCTTCTCATCCACTACCACCCCCAAGTCCTTTTCCTCAGGGCTGCTCTCCAGCCATTCTCCCCCCAGCCTGTATTTGTGCCTAGGGTTGCACTGACCCAAGTGCAGGACTTCGCACTTGGCCTTGTTGAACTTCATGGTGCTGGCACTGGCCCACCTCTCCAGCCTGTCAAGGTCCCTCTGGAAGGCATCCCTTCCCTCTGAGGTGTCAACCACACCACACAGCCTGCTAATGTCAGCAAACTTGCTGAGGATACACTCAATCCCTCTGTCCATGTCTCCAACAAAGAGGTTGAACTGGTCCCAATACTGACCCCTGAGGAACAGCACTCGTCACCTGCCTCCATTTGGACACTGAGCCATTGACCACAGGTGTCTCTGGGTGTGGCCATCCAGCCAATCTCTTATCCACCGAGTGGTCCATCTGTCAAATCTATGTCTTGTCAGTTTGGAGACCAGGACAGTTGACCAGGTCAGTTTGTCCCAGTTATGTGGGACAGTGTCAAACACCTTGCAGAAATCCAGGCAGATGACGTCAGTTGCTCTCCCCAGTATATTTTCAGTAAATATAATTTCTTCACATAAAAGGATTTGTACGTAATTCTTTTATAATTAAATTGTTTAAATTACTTATACCTCTCATAGATTCCAGGATGACTTAGTTGTATTAGCTGCTGTACACCATCAGGAGTAGTTAACTTACACCAACCTACACCTTCATTTACCTCAGAAAAAAAAAAAAAGTATTAATTTTTTGCTGCAGTTGGAAGAGAAAACAGGCAAGTATAATAATGCCAACTTAAGAATAAAGTATCTATAAACATTTCAGTTTAAACACAAGTTTGTGTTTTGCTCAGTGCAGAATTTGGTGTAGTCTGATGAGACAAATGGGGAGGGGCGGAGGAGGGGAAGCAGCACCTGGCACAGCCCCAACACTTGTTCTGTGCTACTCACGAATAAATTATTTCTAAAAGCGTTTAGAAATGTTCCAGATCTGTTCAATTTTCAGTTCCTCCCCCTTTTAATCACCACTGAATATACAGATTTGAGCTAGGTCCCATCAGAAGTTACACACACTGAGTATGGTATTTAATAGGGTTTGTAATAATATCCTCAGACATTTTAACATCTTTTTTATGTCTTGTAATAAGTAAAGACACAGAAGTCAAAAGTCTCAACAATGAACCTTGAATCCCAGACTCGTGTAGTTTCCTCAGTAATGTCAGTTTGCAAAAATTAACTTAATATTTTGACTTCTATATTCAGTAGATTTAAAAATGTATATCAAATCCCATATATGCAAGGTTACTTTTCTGATTAGTTTTTCACTTTCCATTCAATCAATTTTAGGTAATTTGAAATAAAACGCAAATGCTCCCTTCTCTGACAGTGTGAGTGACTTCTCAAAAGGATAGTTTCATCTGCCTCTTTAGACACTGGTTCTGCACCAGAATATGTTTCCTCCTTATTTCTGGTTGAAATACTGGAAATAAGTTTATGGTAGCCTTTGTGGAGAGTTCCTTTTTTCATTTAGATTATTATACAGGCTCAAGAGTAAGCCACAGCTGCAAACTGCTGAGAGTTACTAATCTTTCAAATGTTTGTATGTCATAGGCATCAAAACGTTTCATTTTCTTATTAGTTTCCTAGTAACACTTTTTCATTAAGAGTTTTAAGAATATTTATCCCTCTAACTAATGAGTTACCTGGATCTCACTGCAGGAAGAGTTGAAATCCCAGACCATATTCAAGGTTGTCCCATCCCAAAAAACAGCAAGGATTTTATGATCCGAGTACACAACGAGTCTCCCTTGGCTGGGAATAACCTTTTCATGCAGCACAACTGGCAACATTTCTCGTCCATCTGTCTCAGGTACCTAGAACCAAATAAATACACCAAAACTTAAGGAAAGGTTACTCACATCATTACAGCTGTTTGTATTTCTCTCAGATTTTCAGTTAATTTATTTTTTTCCAGACCACAATGAGTTCTCTTTGTCACGCAGTTGGTTTCTGCTTCACAAATTTATCTTTACATTCAATGTTCTCAATACATACCTTGTGATCTTTTTTAATAGTGTACACTGATCATTCTTCCCTCTAGATTACATCCTATTCCCCATAGCCCATATAATCACCCCTGTAACACTGAAATATTTATCAATCTTCAGTTACATACCATTTTCCAACAGCAGAGTTGGTAGTTATGAGTTAATGATAGTTTAGTCTTGTAACAGTACTGAAGTATTCTGAGGAGAAAAAACCCAAATAACGTATTAAGCATTTCATAATTACTGTGTCTTCTAAACAGTTGCAACCTTTGTTCTTTAAGTCTATGGATGTCCTCAATGCTAATATAAATTCCTTTAATTTTTATATGTAGTGTCAAAATAACTATTATGTGTATTCTTAACTAGTGTCCTTTCAAAGTCAGAGGAATTGATGAAACACCAAAAAAGTAAAGTTACTTGGTTGCCTGAATAATAATGGAGGATACAGAGTATGGATTTCCTGGCACATCAGGAGGTAGGCTGTTCACCGAATACATCTTTTCTTCCTTCTGCAGGGAAGAGCAGAAAGGAGATGAATTACAGGTTCTGTAGCATGAAAACGTTAAAGACTTTGCAAGATAGAAAAAATTTGACCTCCCAGAAAGCAACTAAAGTCACATTTAAATCCATCCCAGAAAACAGATAAATACCTCCATGAAAAATGAAAAAATGCAACTGTATCCTTCAAGCTTACTTCAGTGGGAAGAAACTTTCACCACTTCCATGCATTCAGTATGGACCAAAAAGTTCCCTTACCAGAGAGTAGAACATAATTCATTACAGAGTGACTACATTTGACTACAAGTTAAAGACTAGGTTTGAAGAGCACAAAGAAGGCCTTTTATTCTGCTTTAAAAATACCAAGCACCACATAAGCACTTGAGAGGATCTCTGCTCTGGGGAAACTTAAGAACAGGCAGACACAGAGGCAAAACCACTTCTCTAGCACTGAACAAGTAGTTAATGGCAAAGCCTAAAAAGAACCTGCATCTTCTATGTTCTGTCTCCATACAGTGAAAAACAAAACACTTCCAAATACATGAAGACTAAACTCTAATCAATATATTAAAGATGAGACTTCTCTTCTAAATTAGTCAGAAATGGTTATTGTGGAATCTTACAGCAATACATACTTGAGCTTACAAAATAAATGTTACAAGGAATAAGATTTTTCTTACTATATATATAATTTAGAAGAATGCATTCTGAAACAGAGGGAATACTGTTTTTTGAATGATTGCTTGATTCAGTCATTATAGGAATTACCAATGTAGGGATAATGTAGGATTCTGTGATTCTATGATGACTACAGACTGCATACCTCAATGTCTTAAAACTCAGAAAACTGCCAACTTGAAGGAATTTGGGACATATTTAAAAATAGGTTTATACCTTTTTTGATCCTTTTTGGATTGCATAATGCATGAAATAGTTCCCCAAAAATGCTCCCTCTGACTTGAAAAATGTGTCATCTCCAGGATAAATTTCTGTGATGTTTGTCTGACCATGGATAAATCTAAGAGAGATAACAAAATTTTATTATTTAAAATGCTGTGTAACCAAACAAGCAAAACTGGTTGGTTAACTTGATGAAAGCACTAAGCAGAAACACATTTTCAACAAAACTCTCACATGAAAAACTTTCTACTGTTTCACAACCAGCAGAGCTTTCTTCATCAGAGATTAGCAGTACCTGGCTTTGTTTGCATGTGTGCATGGGGGGTGGTGGCCAGGGTGTTTGTGTTTAAAGAAGCTAAGGAAAACTTTTCTGTGTTGAGGTAAACATCTTGGAAAAGCTGATTAAACCCCATCCCACCAGCCACAAACTGTATAATGACTCTGAAGAGAAAAATCCAGTTTTCTTAGTGGTCTATGTATGTACACAGAGAATGGTCAGACTGAACATTTCCTGAAAAACACAGAAGTCTTAATTTCAACTGCAGCTGTATGTTTTTCACTAAGATCAGTGTTCTTTTACTTGTAAGCCTATGATACCTTAGAGCCAAAGGCCCATTAAATGACCCAATCTGCAACTCTGTGGTTAGATGACTCGATTTTGGTAAGGAACTTGAAAGGCTAAGTATGTTCACTTACCATACTTCCAGAGAAATGAAGTACAGTACTGAAGAGCTGCTAAATATGTTAAGATGAGATGCAAATTTAGGAATTACACAGAGGAAAAGGAAGAATGCTGGGTGGAAAGATTAAAGCTTTGAAGACTGATTATACTTTTATCAAAGACTTTCAGATGTGGATAGAAATTGTAGCACTTTCAAAGTTCCTCTAACAGATTTTAAAGGGCAGTTTTTAAAAAAAAGTCTTCTTAAAAAACTGTATGGACAAGGTGATTTGCCATGAAAATCCAGTTGAGCTGCCTGCATCATGTGAATTATATAGGTCACCAAGACAGTCATTTCTAATGCATGAAATCTCCAACATCAAAAGAAGCAATGTAATTTTCAAAGAAACAAAGCACCATAATTACCAGTGAAGTCTCTGGGAGCTACAGTTAGTAAACCCTTAATAGATCAGGCATCAGTCCACTTCTTCAAAACACTTACCCTAGATTTCAGATTTTTTCCTTCAGACATACCCATTTCCAGACCTGAAAATAAGCTGTACTAGAAATTTTGAAGTCCAATGAACAAACAGCAGAAATGAACAGACTCTTACATGAAGACTGTGTACAACTCCTCAAAGAGTGAGAAAAAGTAGGACAGTTCATCTTACAGCTTCAATTCCCATACAAGTGAAGTCTTCCAAAGATGAAATGCATGATCTCCTTACATACCTATAAAAAACACCCTGGCACCATACAATTTTAATTAGCTGGGGGCATGAATACTTCTCAGTATCTTCATTCTCAAAGAAGTCACAGAAAGTCCACCTGTTAAAATATAATTAAAGCTTCAGTAAGTCCAAAAGCTGGGATTTTTTTGGGTGTGCTGGTAATCATTTCTGTACCCAGACCAGATGAACAGATATCTACTCAAAGGAAAAGAGGCCACATATTTTCAGTCTTCTGACTTCTTAGTTATCCACATCAGTTACCATATTTGTTTTATCAAACCTGCAAAGTTTTTTTTAAATCGTTTTTGGTGGTACTGACAGAGAACATACACCACTGGCCCACCTCAGAAGTATTATCTTTTAAAAATTAAAACACCCCAACAATCCAACCACAAACCTGTGGGATTTTTTTTCAGTATTTTTTTTTCATTTACATATTTACACAGCATGTCAGAAAATAAAACTTATTTCTCTCTTTACTAATGGCTACATATTTATTATAAGAGAATACAGAATGTTGGTTTCACAAATTTTCCTAAGAAACAGAATATGACAGGATTAAAAAAATTTTTTATAGCTACAATTAAGTTATTTTTTTTACTAGAGGTTGAAGTTCCAAATTCCAGAATTGTAAAATGTATGTTAAATTACCTGTGTAAATGTGGGGCTCTGCAGCTGAGTGGCAAAGCTGTAGGTAAATGAGAAACTGCTTTATGCTCTGAGTCTAGTAAAACATCAGGTTCTACAGAAGCTGCATGGCTGTTGTTCTCACATGTCTTCATTAGATCCTTAGCAGTATATAGGCTACAGCACATTAGTGCCAACGACAAAGGGTATTTCCATTCGTCTGGGTAGGAGGAAACAGACCAACGCTGGGTGACCCATGTGTATTCAGAAGAACAATTTGTGTAGAACAAAGGGCCTCCATCTCTGTCCTTTGGGTCCTTCGGTTTTGTTGGTTCTCTGTATTTAGCTTCAGCACAACCATGTTCATTCTTCTTATTCTCTATTCTGATTTCTTTTGATGACATTTCTGCAACAGGACTTCTACTTAATTTTCCATACTGATCTCCGGTTTGACAGCTGTTCTTTTGAGAGGAGCTTAAGGATCCTGCAGATGACTGGCTGACTTTGCATAAGAACTCCACTGTGAATTC